ATTTTATATAACATTTATTATTATTATATAAATACGTTGTTAGGAGAGAGTGGAATGAATGAATGAGAAAGAGGAAAGGAATAAATGAATGAGTGAAAGGGAGAAAATGAAACTTAATCTTATTATATAANATATAAAAATTTTATTTATATTTTTATAAAAAAAATTATTGAATTTATTAAATGCTAATCAGAAATTCTATATTATTAAATTCTATATTAGAATACAAATTTATAATAAAATAATATTATTTAAGCGTAAATTAAAAATAATTTTATAGAATAATATATAATGTATAATTAAGAATTATTATTTCTATAAGATTAATACTACTTAACATATTAAAATATAAAAAAATATATATTTTTAGAATTATATAAAATGTTAATACATTTATAAGATAATCTTTGAAGGATCAAATCTAGAAATAAATACAAATATTAATAAAATAAATACTCTATAAATATTATCGAAACCATTCGTAGGTAATATTTCAAATAGAATTGAATTGAAGAAAATTTAAAAATTAATTCTAAAAATAAGATACAGATTAATTACAAAATATAAAATATCTAAAAATGAGTATAAATAAATAGATATTTAAATATCGATAAAATAATTTATCAAATCATTGACAAATGAAACATTTATAAAAATCAAAATAATTAGGGAAGATAACTGTTGTATATTGACAAACAAAATAATAAAAGTAAAAATAGGTTTCTAAATTAATTTATAGATAAGATTAAAATTATTATAGTATCTATTTAAATGCAAATAATAAATAATAAATATTATAATTAATTATATTATAATTAATAAATATTTTAAGACGTTATTAAAAAAAAACAACTCAAATTTAATTTCTTTAAAAGATATATATGTTTTTATAAATTTTAAAAACAATTTTATTCATTTTGACAAGTAATTCTAACAAAGAGAATCGAAGAAATAAGGATTATTCTAACAATAATGAAAAAATCGAAATATATACATTGTTAAGGACTTATGAAACGGTCGGGTAATCTGGCCTATGTTTTCAATAGTTTGAGTACCGTAATAACTTGACAATAATAATAATTTATGAGTAATTTTCCTAACGTTTTCCAAATCTCTAATTTCAACAAAAGTGCCTGACAATAATTTATGAGCATAATTTTTCTAATGTTTTCCAAATCTCTAATTTCAACAAAAGTATCAACGGCTTCACAAATCAAATGTATACGATGGATCAAGGAAGCGAAATTCTGACCCCCACGTGCTCGACCCCGACGCGACCCCGTAAGGGCTCATCCTTCGAGGCCGTCCTCCAGTGCAATCATTGGTTCCTTCAATCCCCTCTCTATGTCCATTTTTCTCAAAAGACAAGGGAAAAACCAAGGGTCACGATAGTCTTGCGATAGAGTGATATAAAAATCGAAACGAGAAGTTAAAATCACAGTTAGCAGCAGTCAAAGTATTCGTACATTACGAACATATAGTTTTACATATAGTTCTATAATAAGTGATCCTTCGAGCAATAAGTTTAGACATTTCATTTGTGCAATATTTAAAATCGTTCATTTCCGACTCATTCCGACTTTAACATACATTAAATTATAAAAACATAAATAAATAAAAATATTATATATATTTTTTCTCTTAATAATTTCAAGAAAACTTCAATTTCAAACTTCAATTTTATCATATTTTCATATCATAATAATAACAAATCAGCTATAAATATAATATATAATATTTAATATATAACTATAAACATAAGTAAATATTTACATAAACATATGATAACATTAAAGATAATATTAAGTTTTAAAACCTCAATTATATACTATCATTTTATAATATAATAATTCGTCAAAGAGTAGAGTTTCTCAGATAACAACAGTGTGATCAAATCAATATGTTTGATTATTTTCAAATATTAATTTCACTCGTTGCGATTTTTCTCGCTTTGTACTATTATTTTACGTCGAATTTTGATTTCTGGAAAAATCGCGGAGTGGTTGGACCCAGACCTATACCATTTTTTGGAAATACAAAGGATGTTGTATTAAAAAAAATTGAAATAAGCAATTACATAACGGAATTATATAAGAGATATGAAAATGAGGCAATGTTCGGGATATTTTTTGGTGGATCGCCTAATCTTATTTTGCGTGATTTAGATCTCATCAAAGATGTTTTAATTAAAGATTTTTCTATATTTGACGAACGAGGATTCAAGATTTCTGAACGGGTATGTATTTTTTTTT